TTTTACAATACTTTACTAAGAAAATAATAAAAAGAAATTTAACCAGATGTGTAAACATTGGGTCATGATTTAATGCAAGCAGTCATGTCAATCACCCCCTGCACTGATACTGAAAAAATTCATATTACTTCATAGAATCTCAAAAATACACAGAAATAAAAACAATTCATAACATTTTTGCGATAAGCTCTTCATTTTATTTTCAGTTTATATTTGTTTTTTCGATAATCTTGATGGATATTGATGATGCGAAATTTTGCAATAATGCCGCTGAAAAATGTATATCTAGAACAGAATATCGTATTTGTTTATTTGAGAAAGGTTGAAATAGCGTAAGTTCTACAGTTCAACGAAACAACAAGTTCAATGTTTAAACGGAATATCAAGAAGGAAATTGAAAATCCCAAATTTTATTTTAGAATTGTAAACATAAATTTTAGGTAAAAAACATAAATGAATGCCGCATAGATGTTAAAATGTCCTTACAGTCATAAAATACGCAATGTCCAATTGATTATTGAGTCAAAAATAACAAACTAACGAACGAAGATTCAACAGACATATGCCAGATGTGTAATCAACTACTTTTCCGCTTCTGTCATGTTAATTCTTAATAACGATAAACAGTCCAAATTGTTTACGACGACATTTAAGTTCATCGATTTTCTTTCATCAACACAAAACAGCTGATTTCTGTACAGCCAAAAGTGCCGATGTCGGATATAAACATATGTCAAATTTGGGCGTCGTTCCTAACTTGGCGGAGGGGGGGATAGATAAAACTCCTAAGAATGCGCGATACCGGATAATATTTCTTTAATTCTCTCTCTCTATGACAGCTTGCCATGACAGCTTGTTTCTATAGATAGTACGGGTTAAGGATGGTTATTATGAATCTGATACAATAAGGTTGATTTTAATTTGATACGAATGTTAGTGATTGATATTATGACTGTGAGACTGGTTGGATTTTTGATACGAATGTTGATTTTAATTTGATACGAATGTTAATGATTGATATTATGACTGTGAG